TAAAATTTATAAATGTAATTTTTCTCTTTTTTTTAGTTATTAATTGAATCTCTTGTCCATAAAAATCATTTAATATGCAATACTGGAATTTTATATATGTTGTATTTACATATGCATTATATATGTGTGTGTCTATCCCTACTTAGCACCCTTACCTGTAGGCAGAGGAAGCTTATGTTTCTGTCTCCACTTATTTCCCTGGGGCACGTGGCTGAGGATGAAGAGGAGTCGCTTTTGATACTTTTTTGTACTCAGATAACACTAGTCATCTCACACCTAGAAATTTCATTGCAGATGGGAGGGAAATGGAAGGCATATTTGTGAAGACACATATTGCACTGAAGAAAAAAAGGACTGAAAAGAAAAACAATCATAAGATTGCAAAGCAAATACCTCAGGAGCCCAACTAAAATCTGCCCTGCTGGACCATGAGTCAATATATCTTCATGCCTGGTAGTAAACAGCTTGAGCTGTGTCTCCTTTAATTTATGGATTATTACTATTTACGTAAGCATATTTTGCCAAAGCTGTGGGACAGCCTCTCTCCAACTTTTCCCTGTCACCTGTCTCAGCACAGCGGAAGCATTTCCTTCTCCACATGACGGGCTGCAGTTCTGTCTCACATGTCAGAAAAGAAGAAACTTTAGCCATACAACAGAAAATACGTATCAATGGCCTGATAGCTTCCTACTGGCACAGCCTAAATTCAACCCATGTGATGCTTCTCCCTATGAGCTAGCACAGGCCTTCAGATGTACCTTGCCTGTACAGATTGGTAGCCTCAAGGACATAAGTCAAATTTAGGCTGTCAGAATATGGCCAGGAGTGTTCTTCCCCACCTGGAGAATCAGCCTACACATCCTTTTTATTGCTTCAGGTGTCTTTTCACTGTACTGCATTGCAGGTGTTCCTCCTGCTCCTGTCCATCTGTGCCTCTGCCAAGAAAGCAGCCTGCTGCAGCTTTGATTGTGTCTCCAAGCTCCGATACACAACATCTGAGGATATGCCATCTACGCACACACGTACTCCAGGTCCTTGTGCTAATCACATTCTCATCTGCCCTGGACGAGGTAAAACTCTGGCACATAGGCATCCATGACCAACTGGTCCCTTCACCCCTATTATTCAGAATGAAGAGTCCTACATCAGAGTACTGTACTTAAACCTCACACCTACACACATATGAATGAAACTGGAGTTTTGTTACTACATCTGTATTGCTAAATAGACTGAGGACAAGGAGCAAGGTTTAATGCTGGACAACTGATTCTCCATAATGCTAAGTAAACTGCCAGCAAGCTTTTGGCATAGTTCTGGCCAAGTCCAACTAGCATCTCTACAGCAATGCCTAGGCACCAGGAGAACCTCTGGCCACCTAGCACACAGACAGGACTGCTTCCAATAGGAAGTTAGATTTGGGTCTCTTCCTCCTGTTCCAACACTATCCCAACAGGTCTACAGCCTCAAAGCACTCCTCTGTGTCCTTCTGCCTTGTCCCAAGGCATGTAACACATCTTCCGGTTTCATACTACACAAACAACAGTTTTATGGGCCACAACAGAGTTTTCCTGTTATATCAGATATTTTGACATAAAAAAGACACAAAAATTACAACAAAGTATTACAGCCACAGTACATTCCATACAGCCTTGAGGAGACCCACAGCACAAGCGCCATGTGGGGTAGATGTGACCTGTCTAGCCACTTGGTCTTAAGGCCAGAAAACAGTCCCCAGCCCTGTTCTGTTTTGTGGTATAGACACCCAGGGCTGGTGAAGAGAAATCAGACCCGTTTTTACTCTTCGTGCCTTCAAGTGAGGCAGAACCTTCCATAACACTGATACAGCAGGTGAAATGACTCTGGGGAAAAGCAGCTGATGGAAGTTCACGCTGGCTGTCATAACCCAAAAATGAACAAGCAGTTTCCTCAGGGGGAATTTTCATCTACCTAGACAGACCATGTTTCCTGAATACCAAAGGAAGAGCAGAGAGAGTAGAAGTCAGGACGGAGGGCAGCATGGGAAGAGTGGGCCATTTGTCCTCCCTCCTACAGAGCCAGTTAGGCTGTGCCAGCTTCTGACCACCGTCAATATGTCAATTCTGTTTCTCAAAATCACAAGCCTACTTTGGGTTCATGTACGCACCTCCCAGGCATGTAACTGTGGGCAATTCTCCATTGGTATTGACAGCTGGTGCATTCAACAGCAACACACAGGGAGTAGCCAACACATTTCCCTTCCCACCAGCCCCCTGCAGCAGTGTCATATTGGACATTGCTGTAATGGAAATGTTGAAAGAAACCTTGTTGAAAAGAGATGAGAAAGGATTGACTTTATGTTTAGACAGTGCCTAGGGCTGCAGTGGGATGGGTTTTGGGGGATGGAGAGCAGAAAGAGTGGTTGAAACTGCATCTCCTCTTCCTCTTGTTGGCAGAACTGTGTGAGGCTATTGACTTGGTGGTGGACATTTGACCTTGCTTTTCCTTGCCTGGTTGGGAGACCCCCCCAAGTTTCGAGCATCTGTACATGGAATATGAAGAGGATGATGACATTTCCTTTGCAAAATGGATGAGCAGCTTCTGGGGCCACAACTTGATTGATGAGAATGAGAAAGAGGGTAGAGGCCACAAGAGACATCTGACACGATCCTTTAGTGAAAGGAGAGCCTCCCTTCCGGTAAGAGCTGTGTGCAGTTTTCTCTGTCTATGTGTGTGGTTTATGCATAAATGTAAGTGCCATCCCCAGCGGCATGGCCCTAGAGATCTGCGAGGACGACTATGGTACACCTTGCTGAGTAAGGTCAGCTCCTACTGGGGGCAGCTAATTGCTTTTTGAACTTAGCTGCCTGCCAGAGTCAGGCCTCCGGTGCCTTTGGCATACAAGGAAACTGGCAAACTCCAAGATAAGTAACAATAGGACCAGAAACATAAGTAGAAGGGTGTAATAACTGCTTAACTATGTCTTACAATGTTGTTCTGTCTGCTAAGCATGACCTGGCAGAGATCAAAACATTTTGGAAACTGGCACACAAACATTGGCTTCAATGAGTCTGTTCTCATGTGTAAAACTACATAAGCCTGTATGTGCTCACAGGATTGGGACCTAATTCTGCAACTATATCATCCCCGGGAAGTTGTATGCTTTACTCTCTGGGATTTAGCTGTTTGCAGGTGTAACTTCTAATTTAAGAAGTCCCTCCTGGTTTAAAACAGTGGACTCTGAAAATAAGGATGCAACACATAACATTACACTGTGAATAAGATTTTAAGGGAGAAGCTCATTCTTTATTCTTAAACCAATAAAATTGTTGGGAAAGGAGCAGGGTTCACACACAGAGGCAGTGTTTTAAGGCAGCTCACAACTGTCTAACCGATTATCAAAATGAAGTTACACTGAAAGCAGCTGTTCCCAGTCTGCTGTTTATCTGAAGGCCGTTGCTTTTATTTCAACCATTTAAAAAACATGTAGGTGGTCCAAACCTGTCTCTTTTTTTTCCAACTACATTAGTTGGCTTACCGAAGATATTATGTTTCCTTACAAACCATTTTTCACTTACATCCTTACATCATTGTGGCTGCAACAAAGCAAATGTTACTCTATTGGGGAGAAACTGCTGATCTCTTCCAGACTTTTTTTTCTGCCATGCTATATTTTCACCTTGCAAGTTCTTTTGCACTGAAGCTGCCATGTTCTGAGCTGTGGAATTTTTCATTTCCAAAAAAATTGGCTAAGAAAAACAAAACAGACCAAACCCACCTCCCTCCTCTTTGAATTCATGGATGGGTTGGAGAGGTAACTTTCATTTATTAGTTTTGAACTGATCAGCCACATTTGCTATTTACAGTTATATTTCACCCTGCAAGACAGACTCTGAGCTAGAGCTGTGCTGACAGATTCCGTCAGAATGCCTGAAAATAGTATGTTTATGAATGTTCTTTTTTTTTAAATTAATTTTACTGTATTTTAATTTTGTCCTTCAGAGATCAACATGTATGTGATTTCTTTAGGCCCCAATACAGAATGAAGTGTAAGCATGTACTTAAGTACCAGCAAGCTGCTGAACATATCTTCGTGTATATTTGTGTGTGTACACATACATTTCATTTGAAGCATGTTCTTATATTTAGTTTGTTCAAAAGCTATTTAAATACTTAGCTAATAGCTATCCAAATACTTTGCTATAGTTGCATCCCTGAATCAACACCTAGAACTTGGATGAAGTTAGCTGACAGGAAGACAAGACCGTGACTTCTGACATTACTATTCAACGAGCTAAAGTTATCCTGTACACTTAATTGTGTTTGGCCTTTACATTAATGTTCCACACAAATTTGTCTTGCTTCAGTAGTATTACACAGGAGAAATAAATTTCAACTGCTTTATTTCTCAGTGCCAGACATTGACTGGAGGAATGAGAAGGGAAGATTTGTTTCGAGATTTTATGATTCAGGGATAAATTTTGAGATGAAAATTTTTTATTTGGAAATCTCTGACTAGTTGGTAGTGAAGAGCACTAAAACATATTGTCTTAAACCAAATCTAGAAGTTAAACAAATGGTCACTAAAAATTCCTTAGAAATACCATCAGAAAGAGCATCTCCTTGTTGAGATCAACAACTTGCTATTGCACCTGGATGTGTGATTTTACACAATTATTATAAATGATTACTACTGTAAGATTCGTTATTACAAATGATAACTACTGTAAGGTTCAAAACACTTGTTAGTGTTAGTTATATATTGTCTTCATTTTATCAGAGCAGTGCTATTAATCAGGAGGATTAATAACTGAGATCAGACTGCATCTGTTCTGTAAGTTAATTCCTCTGCAGCAGATCACATTGTACCCTTTCTTCTGTGTCAGCACCGTAAATGGAGATAACACCGCTGTTCTGGTGAAAATCAAGTCAGCAGGTTCTGATTGACACAGCTGTTGGCAAAAGTTCCTTGTGCAGATACAATAGTACTGCCAAAACAGCACTGCCAGCACGCTTTGTCTCATATCCAGGACTGGTATACGGCGCAGTCCTGCCCACATGAACTGCATCTGTACCAGAGGTGTTTTGGTATTACATAGCAAAATGCTAGCAGTATAGCACAAAAAAGGTGGTTTTGCTTAACGCTGGAAATTGCTTCCAGCTCCAAATTGGTATGTTGGTCTTTGTAGTTTTTCCTGTGCTATACAAAGACATTCAAGCCACTGCTCTCACCTCAAACACAATGGTAAACTCCTGTGGCATCCTATCATGGTAGACCGCCCCAAAATATGGATAAAGCTTTGTAGAATAACTCGCAAATTGTCAACAATTTTCATTATTTTTTTCCCAATATCTTAGTATACATCACAAACATTACTGAGATGAGCCTCACAAAATGCTTTTGCTATTGTCATTCCCATGTTGCAGAGGGGAACACAAAATCCTTCACTGGGTGACTGGCAAGACAGGCTGAAACTTGCAACTCCACTCCCCTGAAAAGCATCAGAGTTCGTATGTTGCTGTGGGTCAACACTGAACGTGAAAACTGCCTGGAGAGAACTAAGTCATCTGTTTCTATCTCCTTTAGTTAACTTGTTCAATGGCAAACTTTAGACACATTAACTGCGATACCCTATCAAAGCCTCCAACTTTGACTTTTCTTGAAATATTCTAGTTATCTTTCATCATTTTGGTTCAGGACAGTTTCTTACCTCCCAGACATTTTGTTGTGGGGAAAAGATAGGAGGCAAAGGAGCACTGTTAAGAGTTTTACAACCCTATAAATGTATCCACCTTCAGGTAGACATTGCTGCTCACAGGACAAAATCTGATAAGAAACAGCTGAGAGTGGGAGCAGAACAACTGACTGCTGTTGAAGTTAACTAACATTTAATTTAAACTAAAGTCAGACTGAACATCTACCACAATATTGTTACTACAGACCAGTTGGAGCCTAGGCCAAAACATTTTTAAGGAATATATGCTTGGCTGTAAACTTCTTGGAAGGAAAGGAAGCTGTGGGACAGCATCATCTGAATGTCAGATGTTCCGAAATATCCCTAAAGTCACTGGAGTCATTGTGTAAACTTCAGCGAACAATGAACACTCGTGCTGACACACTGAAGATTAATTTTCTTACTGACAGCTGTGCAAGCCCTCAGATCAAGCCCAAAAGATGGAAGCAATTATCTTGTCTCCAACAGAAATTGAGAAAGTGAATAGGCAAATTATATTGACTTGAATTTAATGAAGTATTTTTGTTTGTGTACTTTTTGTGTGTTTTAGATGGGCAATTTAGATGGGCGTGCAGATAGGGAGACAATCTCTGTTGCCAGCAGCTGCTGAGACTTCAGGAGGGGAAGCGTAGATTAAAGCACTCTGCAGCCATTCTTATTTACAATGTTACCAAGCAATCAGTTTGGCACCAAACAGGTATTAAATGCATGTACTAAGTCTAAGAAACAGGAAGAAAGCCACATGGATTTTATCTAAAGTCAGTGCCGGATTACTTCATCGCTGAGCTTCATTTTATGACTCTTTCGGTTCTCCACGGAGTCAATCTTAAATGAAAGAAGACTGATGTACTGTGCTAGTCATAAGCCATGAAAAGTTCATGCTTGAGCAGTTGTGTTCAGGCTCTTGTCCTCTGTAGGGTTGTGTCCATAAGACAGCAACATGCTGACACGCACAAGCATGCTGTCCTCCTAGCTATGGTGGTATGTATCGTGCACAGGCACTGTGAGAGGAGGCACAGGCACAGTAATATGACTGCATAGACATGTATGCATAGCTTTACCTTAGTCCACTGAGGCAGATATGAATTTCAGAGGAAGGCCTGTCCCTTTTCTGGACCATTGCTGCCATGTCAGTATGTGAACTGCAGTCTTTTTGTTGAAGGCTTAACTATAATTCTATTTGTGAAGGGAAATTAAAAAGTAACGTCTTAGTAAAATGAAACATTTGCAAACATTGCAAAACAGAATTGATAGAATATTGTCCCCTGCTTCAGCTGTCCTCGCTTTTTTTTGCCCAAACCCTCTAAGAGCAAATACCAGTGATTTTTAGTGTGAAACATTCTTTATTTCCGGGAAACAATATATGTCGATGCCATTAAAATGACACAGAAGACATTTAGCTTGTTGAGCTTGACACGGCATGTGTATTCCTGTCCCTCAAGCACAATGTGATTGCTTTGTTGCTTTTTAAAATAACGATACAATATGACCTTACAGAAATTACAGCTGTATTGACTGGTTTGAAATCAAAGTAAAAATAGTATGGCAGAAATCATTATCACTACATTCAGAGGCAGTCCATAATACTAGTTACTGAAGTAAGATTCTGTCTGGAAAAGAAATTGAACCAGTACTGTATGATCTGAAAACCCCTCGGTATTAGGTGCTTCTGTCAGGTATAAGATTTACTATTCTTAGCACCTCTCATCAAGCCTCTCTAATGTGTTATAGTCACAACCATATGGATGCACAGCCTTGCTATTCAGAGAAAGCCTGCATAGGTCCCTGTCGTGCTGATACATTTATAATAGCATCTGGTCCAGAGTAAATGGAAATGCATACAGGAGATGTTTCAGGTCCCTTGCAGTCCAAGGTTTGTAGAGGCATTGGATATACCAAGTTGGTTTAGCTTTCCACTGTTGTTTGTTAAAAAAAAAACCAACCACAAAACAAACACACACACACACAAGGGTTTTCTCTTGGGTTTTCTTAGAAAGCATTTCAGGATCTGTGGGATAGACCTTCAGTTGTTATAAACAATCCCAGCTCCCTTGAAGCCAGCAGAGCTTCTCAGGGTTACTCAGAGGCTGAAGGCTTAGCACCAGGCTTATACAAAACATATATGCATCCAAACATGTATGCAGCAGCTGGGTGCCTGGAGTGCCCTCACCTGACACCCACGGGGGTCTCATTTTGGGTACCTCCCATCTCTCTCTCATAATTGTCACTACCTGCATCTTACCAGTGTTCAGCTCCTCACCCTGAAAAAGCATCAACAGCTGGCAGGGTTTAGGTCATGCCTGGCTCCATGTGGTGGCTTTCTCACCCACCTCTGCTACAGGTCTCTCTATTTCTAAAACCACCAATACATGACTTCACAGGACACAGCAGTTCTGGATCAGTTTAATCTCCTTTACAGACATTCAATTAAATGCAGCTGATGCAGATCAATAGCTTTTATCTGCATGTCAGGCCTGGGAAAATTGAACCACACAGAAACTAAACAACTGTCTAGTCCCTCCCCACTTTACCCCTACAAATGTAATTGCAGGAAGCCTGTTTCCTACCATTTCTCTGGTAGGCATGTGTCCCTCAGTGCCCTGAAAGTGCTCTCTCATCAGTTCAGGGCAAATGTGCCCAAGAAACTAGCAGAAAATTCAGACCTGGACAATAGAGCATTTTGTCTGCATGTACACCACGCAGAAAATTTGACACAATTGGGCTAGAAATGATTGCTGTCATGCTCAGATGAACTCAAATATCTGATAAGGCCTGGAGCACCTGTGGGTCAAACCCCATACCTGGCTCATCTGGCCACAAAAGGCTGGTTCTTTGCTTTTTCAGAGTCCTGCCTAGAACCTGCCACCAGATGTAAGGCCTGAGTTTTTAAGCTTATGAAGGCTCCCGGTTCCTTTTAGTGTCAGTGGGCACTAAGAGGACCCAGCACAGTTTACATTTGAAATACTCATTCGGATGTCAAAACTTAGATACTCAAAAACAGGAATAAAAGCAAATTCTGTTGCTTCTTCTGGAAAGCAAGCTGTTGGTAGTGATTCTCCTGCTCACAAAAGGAAAGATACAGAAGTCTGGGGAAGGTCCTTCATTCTGCACCGCTGTCCAGAGAACACTCTGTGGCAGAAAGAATCTGCCTTGTGTGCTCTGCTTTAATATTCAATGCTCAACAAAGACCTCTTGTTTTTCAGGCCAGGCTTTCTTCCCTCCATACAACACGACTTCATGCTTCTACCAAAGGCGCATCTTCAGGTCATCTCAAGGGCTCCAAGGAATTTCAAGAAGACCAAGACGTGAAATGTCACTGCCACAGGAAGGCAAGCAGAACACCTTCAGCAGACAGCTCATGCCCAGAGACAAGATCAAACTCCATGCAGGAATTTGCAGAGTCCTTTGAAAAACAATTGCATCTCAAAAGCAAACGCTCAGTTTCTTTGGTAGGTAATGACCAACTTAAGATCACTTCAGAAGAAAAAAACCCAACCAACCAACAAGTAGGCCAGCTTTTTCCCTGTTGTAATTGCTGTGGCCTTGCTGCGGGAAGAGCAGAAATAAACTTGAATTAGTATTTCTCAATTTTGTGGTCCTTACAGTAGCGCAAACAAGATTAAAGTGGTAGTATCATTAGTATGAGACTTCTTGGTGTAGTGGTACCATCTAAACTTATTAAAAAATGTATATCTTCAAAATGAGACACCACACTGGCCGTGGCAATATTTTCAGAGGTTTCTACAGCTGTGCCAAGGAAACATAACAATATAAAACCAGGTTTGCTTCAGTTTTGCCGTAAGACTCAGCTTTCTCACTGCTGCTGACCTGGTTTAACCGTATGTGATGTTATCTGTAAGACTGTCAGACACTGTGGTGTTTGAGAGGCTTCTTTTTTACCCCTTGGGCCTCCATCCATCTGCTTTCTTCAGTGTCACCACACAGCTGCAGCAGCAGCCCTTGCTGCAAGTGGCTGAACATGTTTTCTCTGTAAGGGCATGGAGCTGGCAGGGGATTCTCCTCCCATTTCATCCTTCTCCCCATCATTCTGTCCTGAGACATGAGCATTTTCTGTATGGTTTGTGTTGATGAAGTAGCCAATAACAACTCTTCGTCTATGACATTTTAACACATTTTTATTATTATCATACATGATATCTGGTGTATCATACAATGGAAGGAAGGGTAATAAACCTTAACTCACTTTTAAGTACGAGAAGAACACTATCAAGTTCAGTCACCCTATTGAAAAAGCTGTGCTTAAATAACACTTGACTAAATAACACCAAATAACACCGGAAGTGTTTGGGGGGGGGGTTCAGTTTGTTGACACTGACAGTTTGAATAAAGAAGTAATTTTCAGCTCTCTTTGCAGACCTTCTGTGCAGGAACAAGAGCGAAAAGAAATCTCTTTGCAATAAGCAGCATCATTACATGATCAGTCTTACAATTATAGTCCTTGCATGCCCAGCCCTCTAAGAATATGCAGAATTATGGTGACGGCAACTCTTACGCCATGTTAAGATTTTAGGTGCATTCTCTAATCTTCTTTTTCCCTTTAGGAACTACTCAGAATTTATTTCATTTGGAACTTCACATTGCCTCATGTGCCTCACCAGTGGTTGTCTGGTTTATCATTTATCATTTCTTGAAAGTGCCTATGGCTAGTAAGTCTGTGAGCATGTAATAATTTTACGATAGGTATAGTGAGCATAATGCACTAAATACAGCTTCAGTTCTGGTTAAAAACATGGATTCTGGTACCCTTCTGTAATCTGCAGTGAGGTATACTGGGCTGTGTTTTGATCTACCTCTCAAGTAAACCAAATTGTTGTCATTTCCTCAGTCACCATGGAAGTCTGGGAGATGTGAAGGACTTGACAATCTCAAGGAACTGAGTGATAGGTGTTAGATATCTGAAAGGAAATTTAGGAGTGGGCTTTCACTAGTATCTCTAAATGGAGCGGTTTTTTGCATTCAGGGCTCTGCAGGTGCAAGTCAAACCACCATGACCACACAGGTTAAAATAAAAATGGGGGAAAGGTAATCCCATTTCATCTCCTTCCCTGCATATTGCTGTTCTCTTATAAACGTGGCTTTGAGGACACTTCATGACCTTCAGCATTTGTTTTCAGTGAGGTCTTTGGAGCTAGCACTGAACAGCCTTCAGGCACGTAAAGATGGATCATGTGAAAGGACAGAAACATGGAGTCTGGGCTGAAATCTCAGAGCACCTCCTTTTTTCCCTCCTGTCTGCTCTCCCCCTCAAGTCCTCCAGCAAATGGCCCTCCTATCATATATAGATTATAATGAAAAGCATGTTGCCTCTTGCTGAGTTTTAGGGTGACTGGCTGGGGCCTTGAATTTGAGCCCATCACATTAAAGCTGATCTTGCTGAGGTAGGTGACTGGAGTATTTTATTTTACATTATTAGTGAAATAAAACAATGAGATTTTTTTGTTCATGTGGGAGTTGCTTTTAATTCTCTTTTATTTTTTCCTGCCTTTTAGCAACCCGAAGGCATGAAGGAGAGAAAAGAAAGAGAAAGACTGCATTTGAGAAAAAGCAAGTCTCACAAGAGAATGGGAGAGAAATCAGAGCCAAGGAGAGAGCAGGAAGAAGATGAAGGTTCAGAAGTTGTACCTGCAAAACACAACGAACAGTTTCCATCACAAGCGAGCACTGAGAAAGGATATTTATGCACAGGCAGCTAGAATGTGTTGAGATAATGAATTTTAACGCTCCCCCTGAAGAGCAGAGGGAACATTCTTGTTTTGTTTTCACTAGAAGAGGCCTGTTAGCTAGAATAAACCCTAACCTGTAAAATAAAAGTAAAATTCAACTGCATCATTGACACCATGTTACTACCTTCCTGTCTTTACTTTTGCCATTAAGAATATGACCCTTGTCATAGGAAGAGTGTATCTGTTGCAAGATCCAAGTTAGCAATTAACTACTGTAAGAGGGTTTCAGGCAAATTTAGCGTTGCAGCAGGACGGTGGTGGATGTGTTCATTTAAGAGAAAAGCATGTATGTATTACAGAGCCGTGCAAAGTCATTTAAAGCCTTATGTTTCTGTTTGAATTGAAAACAGGCTTATTGGTAGGTTTGGGAAGGAAAAAGTACACATAGCCACCTGCTTGCTGGCCCTGACACTTGCTTAGATGTGTCTTGGAAACAGGTATCTTTTTGCTTTGACAATCTCCTGGCTCCAAATTTACAGAAGTAATAGAGGAGAAGCCCACATGTTCTCTTCTCCACCCCATGATGTCTCACTTCTCTCTGCTTTCCCTATCACTGTGCAATATGACACTTGTTTCTCTGGAATCCCCCAGACCCCTTCCATGTCCTCAGTCCCATTTCCCCAGTCACACAACTAGTTCTTTCTCCCAACTTTAACCTTGATTCTTTTGTGGCCTTCCTCCTCTTCATTTACTACTTTATAACCCTGCCTCATAGCTACCAATCTCTTTTGCTACATCGCTAGTTTTGTCATCAAAATTTGAGCTTTGCTGGAAGCTCTCCAGTGAAAACAGACATGTTCTGCTTCTTATACTTCTATGTAATCTCTTTGAGATGTTGCCACACATTCAGGGTGAGGCATGACAACCCTTTTCCCTTTTTCCCTTTTCTAGAACTAGGGCCAAACCCAGGGAATGGGAACTGGCTCTGTCTATGGTAAGTAGGACTTAGGAAAACTGTTTCCTCTGGCTAAAGATTTCCTGAACTCAGGTGTAAATCTCACCAACTGTAAGTAAGATTTCCTTCTCTGCAGAGGAAATCCACCTCCACATGCTAATACACATGTACACACCCCACAACTCCCCTATGCCTCCCTTCTTCAACAATGAAGTCTTCCCTGCAGAGAAGAACCCTGCCCTCTTTGGGAATAATTTCCCCAGGCCTTGCATAGAGAAAGCCTACTTTGGATAATGCAGTTAGAGAAGAGTGAAGACTAACGAAGTAATGAGCAAAAGTCAAAGTTTGCTGGGTATTCTTGCTGTGATTTTCTGTAATTAACAAAGATCTTATTTTACTTCAGAGCCTTAACTTTGAACATTCAACCTTTTAAAAGCTTAGGGCATGCTTAAAACTTTGTGACAATAACCTCCATTAAAGGATTGGTTTTCTTGTTAAGTAGGGCTTTGGGGGATATATAAGAAAGCACTTGAACCCTTGCTGATGCTTGTAAATTGCTTCTTGCCTGGTATCATATATTATAAACTAATAAATCTGATTGAAAAATGTTCTTCCTACGCATAGTTCCTATCTTCCCCAATCCTGATTGAATCTTCATGAAGTTCTTCTGTCAACTAAAACGTCCATGCAGATGGCTTTCCCTTTATAGCCTTAATTTGAAGACTACATTAAAATAGACCTGGATAGAAAGGAACAGCTATTCCTCAGATAAAACCTCTCACATACATCCTTTCACAAAGCAGCTTGCCCTCACATCTCATGAGACCTGAGTGCCATGGCTGCACAAGCTTTGCCTGGATTTCAGACCATCAGCCTCCCCCTTCTCCTCCTGCTTTCCAGCCAGTTTAACTCAACAGACCCAGCTGTATCCCAGCAGAATTTGCAAAAAGCTTGTATTTGTGAGACTAACGTGCTGGTTATACACCACACCTGATGAAAAGAAATCACCAGAAAGAGCTGAAATAGAAAACCCATGTGTGGCTGGCTCTGACTTGTTTGCTCTCTCCATCAAAGCACAGGCAAGACTCACGGCCACCGAGGCAGCCTAGCAGGTCTGCCTGCAAACAGCTCCCCTGTTTATCACTGAACCCCATCTCTCGAATGGGAGAGTCTGTAAGCATTTATGTCCTTTCTGGGCTGGCCCCTCAGCCCCGTGGTGTGACTCTGGAAACAGAAGGTTTCAAATAATGTCCTCAACACCATCCTCCTTAAGTCACTAAAAAATATTTACTTGAAAGTGTTTTCTCTTGCTTCATATCATGCCTGATTGGACCAACAGCCCTTTCTGGTGTAGTCACATGTAGTCTGATACAATAGTATTACTCAGGAAGACTGAAACTTGCATGATAGAATGAAATCATTCTCCACAGAAATTAACAATTATTTGATAACGGATCAGGCATTTGGGAAGGAAGGTAATGATCTGAAGAGGAATCGAATTGCAATGGCATGGCTGATACTTCTATTTCCACAGAAAGTGGAACTGGGATATACAAGTAGTCAGAAAGACTCCAGAGGGTTTTCGTTTTAACAGTAGGTCAGTAGTTCGGTTGTGACTGACATAAAAAATAGTCAGTGCCTTGATTCCCATCCCCAATTCCCAGAGCAGCCGGGCTGGCCGTGAGTGTTTGCTGCACACCCCCCCATCGCTAGGCAAACACTCTGCTTTTTCTGCTCTTTCCAAGAGTGGGATGGCTACAAGCTGCATCAGAGTCCAAACCTTGGACACGAAGGATGTCAGTTAGTGGGAAGCAAAGGCAAAGGGACAAAAAAAAAAATCTTTTCCAAAAAGATTACCAAAATTACCTTATTAACAGGTAATGTTGAAAACCTGAAGCAGTTTTACAAGAGGGGGGAACCAGCAGACAGCAGAAGTAGGCTGATACTCCCACTGCGGGCTGGCTGGCGAAAGCTGAGGTGACTCAGAGGCCTGTGAAGGACATTTTAGATGATGACTTGTGGCTCGTGGGTGGGAGACCATGGTCTGGTAAAACACTCATCTCTGTAGAGCCTTCCCATCGCTTCAGGCGAACTAGAAAATGCTCCTGTGGGAAGTTAGGGCATGGGTATGTACAAGCATTTCAAGAGCAAGATCCAGTTATACTCCAATGTTTTCTGAGAGGGCTAAGAGGACAATGTCAAGTGTGGCTACCTCATCTTTTCTGTGGGAATTCCCAAAGCAAAATATTTATGCTTGCAAGCTTCTAAGGTATTGTTTAATTGCAGTATGGTTTTGAGGATGGATTCAATTTTGGGTACTTGTTAACATATTGCATGTTGGTATATAAAATGCAAGACGCCACAAAGACAAACTGAAGCAGTATCTATATTTATGTACATGCTTGCAACATTCCCTTCTAGGAAAAAAATGGGAAATATTTAAATGCATAAATAAAACAACCACAATGTATAACTGAACAAGAATATAATACCCATTAAAAAAGAAACCTAATATTAAATATGAAAAAAAGAAAATGTTCATCTGTACGTTTTTGTTCTTTAGCACAAAAGAAGGTATTTGGGTAAGCACATCCCTGGCTCTGACTGCATTCAGTGTACACATGAATAGTACAAAATCAAATAGAGATGTAATCAAACCTGAAAACCAAAATTATTCACAGATAAATGAATCCTAATCATGGGACTTTGTGTTTATACAGCCATCTGCCAAAACCATTGAAAACAAACAGGTCTTGAAATATGTCCAGAAGGATATTGCAGCCAAAATCTAGTTATTCAATGAGAGAAGTGAATATTGAAATCCAACAAGCTTCATAGATAATGCCCTGCCTGCAGTTGCTGTGCCAGAGCTTTAGATAACTGTGTATGAACACATGCTAAAATAAACCCACTCACCATAGAAAACATTACTTGTAGGATGTGGATTTTCATTTACTCTGTTGTTTTAGATTGGATTGACAGACGATATTCCTCCTATTAGGAGGATCCCTCTGAATCCTAGCCCCCCAGTCTCTACTGTACTTTAGAAAAAGATAACTTCTTTCAGCTGTGACTTGTCTCTGAGGTCAGACAGAAAACGGGAGAAAGAAATGATACAAGGAGCATCAAAGACTACTGTCATATTTGATGTATTCGTGTCCTTCTTACCTTTGTCAAAATACTGCAGTTCATGCAATTTCTAAACTGATTGATTGATACAGTTTTGCTGTATTGAGAAGACCCACCAAAACTTGTGACAGTTACATATATGCCAATGGAGTCCTTACTGAGAGTCCTCAGCCTGGTGAATTAGTCCTAATCTTGATAATGAAGTATCAAAAAAGGACCTCTCTTTTTTTCCAAAGCTTGAGCAGAAGGATTCATCGACACTGTTCCTCTAGTCTTCCCTGCAACTGTATCGCATTATATGAGGTGGATGCTAAGGTTTTGGCCCTTTGGAAAGCAGCCCTTCCTGGACCTGTAGGATCTCAGTTGATATTCTGCTCTTCATATATGCACAAAATACATCTTAAATGTCTCTCATAAACATTTTAAATCTAGTGGGTTTACTCCCCGAGGACTCCTATAAAGAGAATTTTGGCTGTCATAAAGCAGCTAGCGTGATTTTAGGTTAGCCTTCCCACAGCTAGCATGAGTTTATGCCTGGGGCAGAGGAATGGTTAGGGCATCCCTTTGTGCTGATAGTCCCAGCGGCAGTAAAAGGTCCTCATGGAGAACAAAGTAACTTTGGGTTGCTCTCACCTGTGCAGGAGTGGCAATCACAGGTTAGCCCAGAATTTGGGATGCAAAAAAGTTTTTGAGAACTCCTTCTCCGTTGTGCCAAGTTTCACCTACCCACAGCTGGAGAGGAGGCTACTTCAGACAACAGATTTTGCATTCCTTTAATGCTTTTTGCATGGAACAAATGTAGTCCCACAATAGCATCATCCAGGTCTCAACTATGTGTTCAACAGACATCAAACACAATGTTCATCATTCATTCAGGGTACTCATTACAATCTGATTATCTAATCAAAAGCAATTCTGAGTTGAGGTCATTTAAGACTGATAAAAATTTCCTTTCACTTGAAGGAGGAAGATTTGGATCTGTGTGTGATTTGTCATGATGACTTGGGGACTGACAGCCGCACAGAACTTCACTGCAGGCACAGCTTTCACAAAGAGGTATCGTGACAAACTCCCAGGGCCTTAT